ACTAACGATGTTTTCGCACAAAAATTAAATTTCCGGTCGATTGTTCGCATGTGAGCTATATATATATATATATATATATAATATAATTTAACATATATATGACTTTCCTGCAGAATAGACTAAATGTGACTGCCGTGACGAGTGCAGCTAGCCAGCTACAGTTTTATATATAGAGAGAGTTTTATATAGAGCTCGACTAGCTGAACAATATTGAAATAGCTAAAGATTTGTCAATAGAAAGAAACTGCTTCTATTTTTCGAGCACTTGAGCAGCGCTTTCCAAGTGACACAACAACAACATTTATCAATAGTAGAGCGATAGACTGTGTCTATTTTTAAACAGACTCTGTTTATTTTCCATTTATATATATACTGTGTGTACTGCATACAAATGAAAATATATATAGATACGATATTCAATTGAAATTGATCAACAGAGACGACTTGGCACGTGGTGCACTCGATTCTCTATTGATTAGTGAGATCTCGTGTAACTCTCTCTCGTCTCCACATTCTCTTATTCACATCTATAAATATATGTGTGAAATTCTCTTGCTCTCTGAGAGTGTGCGAGCTTATATTGAATATTGAATTAGTCATTCAAAGGGGGCAAATTAACATATGCTCTTATACATCTCAAAATTCGGGCGTTGTTCGGAAAATGTTAAACAGTTTTATATAAATCTTGAAGTTGGTTGAACTTCTTCTCCAGATAATTGTTAGTGAAAGTGTGTTCCATTAAAATTATATTATAATATAATAATTATATTTATAATTTGTTTCTCGTTTCCAGAATGGTCAAACAGCTTTAAATATAGCTCATAACCTAGGCTACATAACAGCCGTAGAGACACTTAAGGTTGTAACGCAAACATCCGTAATAAATACATCGACGGGTGTGCTAGAGGAAAAGTACAAGGTCGTAGCTCCGGAATTTATGCACGAAACTCTACTATCCGATTCCGAAGACGAAGGTGGCGACGAACTTTTAGATCATAATCAATACAAATATATGGCGACCGACGATTTAAAAGCCGCTAATGATCATGATAACCAAAACTTTGACACCACCAATCCCGAGCACGATCAATTGGATGGCCTTGGCGGTCGAACAATCGAAAGAGGTGCGTACTGTTAATAATTAAATCCTCACAATCACAAATAATATCCATTTGATAGAAGTAACCAGGACAACTGAATCAAACTTGAACGCATCTTCTATGGAACGACAGAATGATAATGTGGTCATCGTACGACCGCCCGTTCATCTGGGGTATCTCATAATATTTGATATTTAATCACAGCCACAAAACAAGTTTGTGTACTATTGCAGATTCCTTGTCTCGTTCCTTGTGGACGCGCGTGGCGGATCGATGCGAGGCTGTCGACACAGTGGAGTTCGCATAATTGTGCCGCCCAAGGCGTGTTCGGAGCCCACGCGTATAACTTGTCGCTATGTTAAGCCTCAGAGAGTCGCAAATCCACCGCCATTGATGGAGGGTGAGGCGCTGGTGAGTCGCATATTGGAAATGTCACCCGTCGAGGGAAAGTTTCTAAGGTACGTATATCGAAATTGTGATCAGATTTCTTTTATTCAAATGCTTGTATTCAAATTTAAAGCCCTATTGTACTGGAAGTGCCGCATTTTGGATCGCTGCGCGAAAAAGAGCGGGAAATTATCATATTACGATCGGATAATGGCGAGAGCTGGCGGGAGCATAGTGTTTATGAGGATGAAGAGCACTTATTGGGCGCCCTTAACGAAACGATCGATGCCGATTTAAATCCACTGGAGGATCTACACACAAACCGAATAATACGTATTGTGACACAAAATGTGCCGCATTTCTTTGCTGTTGTTTCGCGCATCCGCCAGGAGGTCCATGCAATTGGGCCCGATGGCGGCACTGTTTCATCTACAGCTGTTCCGCAAGTCCAATCGATATTTCCACCCCATGCATTGACTAAGAAAATTCGAGTCGGTCTTCAGGCACAGCCAGTGGACTTGATTGGTTGCTCCAAGCTTCTCGGTCAGGGCGTTGCAGTATCTCCAGTTGTCACCGTCGAGCCACGTCGACGCAAGTTTCACAAAGCGATCACATTGAGCATTCCAGCGCCAAAAACATGCAATCAAGGCATGGTCAATGCACCATATAGCGGTACGAACGGTAACGCGCCCACCTTGAGGCTCTTATGCTCAATTACGGGTGGACAGAATCGAGCTATTTGGGAGGATGTTACTGGGTCAACGCCTTTGGCGTTTGTCAAGGATAGCGTTAGCTTTACCACAACCGTATCGGCACGCTTTTGGCTAATGGATTGTCGCAATGTTGCCGACGCTGGACGAATGGCCACCGAACTTTATACGTATATGGCTCAGGTGCCATTTATGGTCAAGTTTGTGGTATTTGCTAAGCAAATATCCGCTACGGAAGCAAAGCTGTCCGTCTTCTGTATGACCGACGACAAAGAGGATAAGACTCTAGAACAGCAAGAGTATTTCAGCGAGGTGGCAAAGAGTCGCGATGTCGAGGTATTGCAGAATCAAAATATTTATCTTGAATTTGCTGGCAATCTGGTGCCCGTATTGAAATCGGGCGAACAACTGAATACCACGTTCCAGGCATTTCGTGAGAATCGTTTGTCTTTCATAGTACATATCAAGGATCAAGAGCAGCCACACGCTCGCCTTTGTTTTATGAGCGAGCCGAAAGTTGGACCCGGTGAGGCACCGTTGCAGGCAATCTGTGCTCTGAATGTGTCCCTCGCGGCATCCCACGAGGTGGTTAATCAAGTGTTTAATCGGTCTAATGAAAATGGTATCGACAATGGATATAATAACATTGATCACGGCCTTAACTACAAGGATATGATAAATGCCGGAATAAAAGCAAGCACAAAATCGCCCGACAATACAATTGCTCTCGCAGCAACGGAAGACATACAGCGCGCTGATATCAGATTATCGGATATATCGAATTTGCTGGGAAGTGACTGGCCGAAGCTGGCCAAAGAATTGGGTGTACCCGAGACCGATATCGAGCTAGTCAAAGCTGAGTACGCTGATCAGCCCGCTGCCCAGCAGGGTTTGGTTATGCTGCGACTCTGGCTAAAACAGGAGGGCCCACGCGCCACTGGCAATGCCATGGCCCAGGTACTAAACAAAATTGGCCGAAACGATATTGTGGAACAGTGCATATTCAACTTGGAGCTTGTCACCGATAAACTGGAGCGCGGCCTGGCCACGGCCAGATTGCAACAAAATCAAACCAATCAAACTGTAGTGCATCATCTCTCCGATGGCCTCAATGAAACCTTGAACATAGATCAGCTTAGCCAAGAAGATGATTTGTTGCGCAAACAATGCCAATCGCAAAATGGTATGTCTTCCTTTAATCCAACAAAAACCAATCGCAAATTTATATATATATCTTTATAGGAACAACAGATAGGCCTTGCACCTCGACACCTCCGCCAACGCCGAGTGAGCCGCAAGAATATCAGATTCCCAAATATGTGCATGAAAATATCGAGCCAAAAGGTAACTCTATCAGAAAGTAATCCTGTATTTCAATTGAATTTCATATATTGTATTTATTAAGGCATTGAGACGGAGACGGAGCTGGAGGACAATTTAATAAAATCACTTCACCTAAAAGATTTGGAAAAGATTGCAGACACAGCCGAGGACTCGTTATTGCATACTCTGGTGGACAAGTGCCAACAACCAGCTACCGAGTCGACGTGGGCCGTGAATCCAAATGATTTACAATGGGAAAACAATTCGATCACAAATGATAAAACAATTACGACGCGTAATTCAGATTTACAAAGCAATATTTCAAACAAAACGCAAGATTGAAAAGTTGATTGATATCTCTAGGTTTTGGTATGATCCATATATATTTATTTATTTATGTATGTACTCTTTTTTTGTTTGCAACTATACAAACGAAGCTCATGTAGTATACGCGATACATGTTCAAATGTATTAAAAGGAGATTTATTTGACGGGCAGGACAACAAATTACAATTTGTTCAGTTACTCGACTTTTTTTATTGAATTATTGCTTTTAACATGGATTCCCGACGATATCTTCCAGTTTTGTTGTACCAGTCAAAAAAAAAAACGTTGATGTCTTGCAATATTTATTCAATGTGTATAATTAATAAATTGTCATTCGTGTGTGTTTACAAACATATTAAATACTTTTAGCTCGGTGTTGAATTCAAAATAGGAAGCCTTCGATTTGCACGCCTTGAATACAGCTGAGTAGTATTGCGTAATATTTGATTTCCAAAATAAATTGTTGAACTTTATTTGGTTTGTACTTGTTATGATATTAATTATGGTCAAATTGGTAAGGAAGATAAGTATTTCGAACATATTTAAATAAGCCTAAAATCCACATGGCTTTATTTCAACATGGATTCGAATAAGTCCTGAGAGAACAAGCCCGAAGATATTCAAATTTCAATTAAGTCTTATTTTTTTCTTGCTACAGTACTTTCTGAGCAGTGATTTTATTTCCAAAATAAATTATTTTAATTAAAATCATGATATACTAACAATATCACAAATAAATGCATTTAATTGGTGTGCAATTCATTTTTCGTAATTGGACTTTTTTAAAATGAACTAACAAGTAGGAAGTAGGAACAGTTGAATAACTAAGGAACCCGCCCTTTTTGAAAAACGGAATTTATATATGTGTAGATGGGAAATTATTGGGGGTTAAGCTAAAAAAATTGCCCACATTCACAAAAAATTAGTATCGGTAACATGTTTTCTGCATGGGTGTCTGCAAAAAAAAGGGTGTATTTGGTATATAATTTTGCAGGCCACTCGATAACATACTCATTTATCGAATTGTTTTCGATATCATGAGATCAATGTGGCTGTCTATCTTTTGCATTAATACACATACATACATATTTCTATCTACATGACATGCGTATTTAGATATATAAACATATGTGCTCATACATACATATGCTTCGTCTCGCAGAAAAACGTGTGTGGCAGTGAAAAACGCTCATCTACGAATTCTATCAAATCATAAATTAATAGTAAATATTTAACGAGAATCAATACTAAAAGTATTATGGGATATATTTGGCATGAGTGCATTAGATTTATTCATGCATATGTACTTATGTACCTAGAGGTTTGTTTGACGGCTATTTAGAAAATTGATTTTGTACATACATAAGTATACCGACAAGTGTGGAAATTTTTGTGTGTAGATTTATGTTATGTCACTTGTCGCATGACTCACATTGTGTCTACATAATTATTTCATTTAATGTGTTAAGGTCGTTTTGATTCATTAAGTTCAGCATATTTATAACACAAGATGTAAACGAAGCAAGTGGCAAACTTATAAGAGTTGCTTATAACTTCAGCGTATGTATATATGTATGTGTATGTATGTACATAGAACATTTGCGGTGTGGCACCACAACCTCCTGTGCTATGACATCGTTATCGATTATTCACAAATCGAGCTTAATGCAAAGAAAAGGATACAAGTAAAGCAAACATCACTACAGCTTATAGAATAAACTTAGAGTTCTGATTTTTTTTAATTTGATATGCGTAATAACAGACGTTTATTTATTTCAGACAACCTACGGCGAACAGCTTTCCAGACTTTCCACATTTTGTTGACGCTTGTGTGTGTATAAAAAGCCAACGCCAAGCCGCCGAATGCATTTGTCGCGATGAGTATGCCATTCAATGTTACTCATCAAGGAATGAGCGTGAAGAACAGTAATTTTCCCATTTTAAAAGCAGCCAAATCACTAATAGTAGTTCAAAACAAATCAACGATTTATAAATACAATAAGTCAACGTTCTATCAACAGTTGTCATTCGATCAACTCGCGGAAAATCAAATGAACGCTGAGCAATTATTATTGTTAAACGTATAGTTAAAAAAAAAGTGCGTAAGACGCCCTGTTTAACAAGAAAATACTTTTAAAAGAAAAACTATTGTGGTATACTGTGTGTGTGTGTATTCAACGACACTTTATTTCGATTGAAACGTTATAAAATTCAACGAAACTTTGGTAATGTATATATGAATGCATATGTACATATGAACATAGCAGAATATACAATTGTGAAACTGAGAGGACGTGAATTGATCAGATATTTCCATTTAACACATTGGCACGCCATCGGGTTGTCAAAGAAACAAGTATCTCCTTCTAGTGATAACGTAATGAATTCAGTTCAAAGTGCAACCGAGCAGCAGGAGCATATCGGGTCATTCAAGAGAAGGTTGCGTAAGCGTCGAGATTGTGACGTAATCGACACAGACACCGACACTGACGTGGACGGCGCACAGCAGGGATCATCATATTGGGCGTATATTGAGCAAGCTGCCGGCTTTGGCCTGATCCTGATCGATTTGGTGCTACTCCAAAAAGAGTACGTGAAACAATTCTATTTTGAGAAGCGTGTGGGCAGCGGAGGACAACAACAAAAGCAACAAAAACAATTGGCCGGAGCGTGGTGTCTACGCCTGGTGAACGCTAGTGCGAATTTTGGATGATTAAAGTTCATTTGGCTCGGCAGACCTGCGCCTGGAGGTGGATCCCATTGGAATTGGATTGCGAAATACCGGTACGAATTTTACTCATTGCGTCAGCGTAAAAGAAATCGCCTAAAAGCCAGCTTTTAAAAGTGCCGTGCTCGATATATCATTCCGCCGCCTCTCTCTCTTTGATTTTAAACGCATGTGAATCATCGGTCCAATCCAGTCAAAGATGCAAACACGCACGGTCTCCGCGTTCCCTTTGGTGGCGTCTCGCGTAGTCGTCGTTGCATCCACTCCGACAAACCGGCAAGTACGGGAGATGTGCAGCTGACATAGTAGCTGGACTTGTCAAGGGAAATCAATAAAAAAAAAAAAGAAAAACTAACCAACTGTGCGACCAAAAATCAAAGCAAAGCCAAAACGATATAAATCAGTAATCAGCCAAATCAGAAATTAAAATATATATATATTGACGTTATTTAAGAATCGGGAATAAGCGTCGGAAAATGTCTGCCAGCCAAAGTGAGGGCGCCGCTTGCCTGATCGCGGACAATGTCTGCCCAGAGCTCCTAGTGCTGCAGCCGCTGCAGTCCAATGGCAACATGCAGGCGGAGGAACAAGAGGGATTGCTTCATCTACCTCGAATCGCAACCAAAAACAATCTATTGAAGCTCAACTGGTGGCATATGCCGCCGACACAGCAACTCGACATCGACAGCAACTCAATCCTCGCAGAGCAAACAGATCATCTGCCAACCAAAATGGACAACAATAACACGGCTGCCCGCAGCAGCCTCAATACGCCGGCGAAGTCAACCTCATCGCCCACTCACCATCGTTCAAATGAAAAGCATCAGAGGCACAAGGAGAGCACCATCATCGATCCATCTGAAGATTTCGATCTACAAGATTCACAGCTACTCGTAAAGGGTGCGTAAATGTTTTTCTTCTTTATATACATTTTTATGCATTTTTTCATATTTATGTCTTACCATAATTCTAGACTTTACACTTCTTTATAAATGTATAAATGTATGTGGAAGCTTTGCATCTCCATAAACCATAAACTATATATATATTCTTGATCAGCATCAATTGCGATATCGAAATCCCGTTCTTAAGCAAATCTCTAAGGTTTTATGAGTTAGAGTTAGCTAATTTGACATGTAGCTTCTAGAAAAGTATCCGCCCCTTAGCTATAATTCAAATAAATAACCCTATTTGTTCCATATGAACAATTGTCTTTTTGAGAATATATACGAATATTCTATCGTACGAAAAGAGCTTCTGCTGAAAATTTCATCAAGATCGGTTAAGAAGCACAGAAGTTATTAAGGAAAATGTGTTGGGGTTAGAACAATGCGCAAGCATTTCTGTATACATGTGCACACATACACACACAAATAGAATTGCATAAGTTCCATATGAACAATTGTCTTTTTGAGAATATATACGAATATTCTATCGCACAAAAAGAGCTTCTGCTGAAAATTTCATCAAGATCGGTTAAGAAGCACAGAAGTTATTAAGGAAAACGTTTTGGGGTTAGAACAATGCGCAAGAATTTCTGTATACATGTGCACACATACACACACACACAAATAGAATTGCAATTGTGTGCGGTGTGTGTGTGTATGTGCTGCTATATTAATTTGTTTTTTTTTTTCAGTTTCATTTTCATTGAATCTCAATTCTTTGATGGGGCTGTGTTGTATTAAGGCGTCGGCAAGTAGTTCGGTTGGTTGCAAGTTCAACTCGGCCAAGGAGGAACTTAATTGTTTTTGATTATTGGAAGAAGAAGGTTCAGGGTATCCCCTAGGAAAGTGGGGGGAGGCCCGACCAGAGAACTTTTGCTTGTTTTATATACTACTAGCGGGCATAACCCGGCCTTGCCCGTGGCACGTATGTTATAAAATCAATGTTCTGAAACAAATTTGAAATGATTTTGAAACTGATCGGACGGTAAACAAATAACTTGCATACAAACGTTTTCCGCCAATTTACCACTGTTGCGAGGGGAATTTCCCAAATCGCTGAAACACGTATTCATTACATTCTTATGTAGAGCTTTGAAAATAAGTTTGAAGCAAATCGGACACAACTTAAAACTTCACCCAAAAAATCTTTAAATCGCATTCCCCCCGAAGAAGTTTGAATTCTGCGAAAAGTGTGAAACACGTATCAAATGATTTTTCTTATAGATCTTTGGAAACGAATTTGAGCGCGAAACTTCACCCACCAAATCTTTGACCTTCATTTCCACCAAGGAGGAACGGATTTTTCGAATAGTGTGAAACACCCCTCAAATGAATTTGAACAAAGATCTTTGAAAATAAGTTTGAGGCCGATCGGATGGTAAACAAAAAAGTTACATACAAACGTTTTTCGCGATTTTTCCACACTTGCGGGTGGAATTTCTCGAAACCCCGTCTTAACGTGCACCTACATCACATAAGGTAGCTACAGTGAAAATTTCAGCTTCCTAGCTCTTACGGTTTGGGCTGTGCGTTGATCACCAATCAGTCAGTCAGTCAGTCAGGACAAACAGTTTTATATATAGAGATGACAAAACTTGGCATGCACCTAAGCAAAATCTCATATATTATCTATATTATATAGCTCAGTAGACTGGAATCGGTCGAAAAATGAGTTCTTTTTAATGGAAAGTGTTTCTGGAAAGTATTTCTACCAATCGGAATTAGAGCTTCTGTATCATTTTGGCTACTTTGAAGGGTCAAAAAATGTACTATATTAAGCATAAGATCGGGCAAATATCCAGGTCTATTTCCTGCCTCCTCCTACCTCCACAAATTGTAAAAGTTGCTTAATATTAAAATTTGTGAGCCGTGCAAAATACAATGCGTTAGTAATTAATTATGCTATAAAATTCGCTTTGTTTCTATCCAAATTGTACTCTCATTGTTTTTATTATTTATGATTTTTCTATTTTTCTTTTTCGCCTTTTATATTGTTCCAAATATGCCTGAAAATCGAAATAGGAAATTTACTTACCCAATTATTTCTAGTAGTATAACATATAAAGAAGTAATTAGCCTTCGAATAAATAATGTTCAAAGTGCAAGTGGCAGCCAAACAGCTTTTGTAGTTTGTACTTATAAATATAAAAAAGTGCTCTTATAGCCAACACGTGTCTACACATTTACCATACTCCCTTCCCCACGCAATCCATTAACACTAACATTATTACCATCAGTCATGTCTACCGAGATCTTAACCCAGACAGACATTCACATCGTGAGGTCGTTTAACGACATAATTGTCTTAAAACTTATTAATTAATTAAACTTATAACTCTCGTTGCTTGTGTTAATATTCGTACAACATTTAATTTATAATAATTTAATTCAAGTCTTTTGGATGTTTGGGATGGTCTGCCAAAATATATGACAGCCTTTTGTAGTTCCCAAAAATAATCGGAACAAAAGAAAATTTTAATTATTATTGTGTTAACCCGCATTCCATTTGTATTTCCTTTCAAATTTGTTATTATTGAATTTTAGATATGCATAACAAGTTAAATAAATATATACATATTTAAAAAAAAACTCTGCTGGAGTTGATCCGACGACCTCTGCTAAGCCTCACAGTCTGATGACGTTCTCCGTTTGCAAAGCTCAACTTAACTTTATGGCGTTGTTGATTTTCATATTTGTCGTACAAACTCCGTTTGATCACAGCTCGGATTGTGCAGGGTATCGCCCAGCTGGCAGCTTCTACTGAATAATGTGCCCAAAAAAGAAAAAAATCTACGCCTATAGGTATAAATTTTAATTAAAATACTATATAAAAAGTTATTTATATTTTGTATTTGTCCCCAACAACGCTGTAAGTGGAATTACACACATTCACATTTACATTTACATTCACATTTGCATGTTATTAAGTTGAGGCACGCAGCACGCAGCTGCGCAGTCGGCTGATTCCTCACTTTTACAGCTACTGTTGGTAATTTGTTTGGCTGAGCTAGATTCATAGTCAGGCCTAGTATTAGGCCCCCTGTTTATATATAAACATTATTTACTGTATGTGTTGGGCTTAGTTACTTTTTAACTACGAACGCAGTAACCCTGAAAGTTGACTTACATTGTGAACTCAACCAATTGTAATTACAAGTGCCTGACTAGGAGATATCCTGTAGCCCTGGCTCAAACATTAGGGAGTCGCTCCTACAGTATACCAAAATAGATTTATTAATATTAGGTCCAATTGTTAAGAAATTCCCGGGCTTAACTAAATTTCGGTGCCCTAAATTTAACCGTTCTGACGAGATATATATTATATATATAATTTACTTTATTAACTACTAAGTTCTAAAGCGATAGTTGTGAAAAAATAATCATGAATAAAAAGCCCAATTGCATTTAAATTCATAATATTAAAAAGTATACAAAAATTGACAGTAGTAAGAAAAAATTAAACTTAGAAGCAATTAAATGGAATTCAATGGCCCATTCAAAAAATATACAAATTAATAAACATTTGTAATCATACTGCGAGCATTGTGCGCGTCTCTGCTGCTGGCTCGCAGTCGTTCTTCGGTGTCTGTGTGGTTCAGTTCAGTTCAGTTCAGTTCAGTTTTGAGTACATATTGATTTAAGTTAACGGAGCGCTTGCGATCGTAATCGGCTCTCGGCTTTACATTTCGGTTCGCGATTCGGTTTCGATTTCGAATCTGAATAGCGCGACCGCAATTTGATATTCGTGCATTGACATGGACGCTACAAGATTAAGTGAATTATGTACATACATGTATATATGTGCTTACACGCGTCCGTAAGTACATATGTATGTATGCCCGATACATGTACTTGGCTATCAAATATTATCAAAATTTCTTAAAAACGCGCTGTGGCTAATACCACAAAGCACTTAATTGCAATTTCTTGCTAGGCCGTCGTCAATATAGCAACAGGTGCCTGTCCACATATGCCAATACATTTTTAATTGTACTAAATTTGGGTGTCTGTCAGGCATGAGGTCGGCCATTGGGCCATTGAGCATCCATTTCGGACAAGGGCGAGTGAATTTATGAAACACACACACATATATATATATATATATATATGTGTATATGTGTGTGTGTCAGTGGGTGACGTCGTGCCACGCGTGAGCCATTCCTCTTCCCAAAGTGTTTTATCATTTATGAAAGATTTATTAATGTGTAAAGTATATATGTTGTGATCTCTCCACAATTGTTTTTTTACACTCTGTGGTTCTTTTCAATGTTATCCAACTCACATACATAACGCTTGCATACAATAAATGTATTAATTGACGCAGATTGTTGATTAATTGTTCATGCGTGTGTGAAACAATGGTTCTTAAGTGGTCGCTGCTGCCATTGTGTGTGTAATTCTCATTTTTATTAGTTCTTATGGTACTTCTTTCGTGTATTAGTTATTGTAAATAAATATGAATTTTTCGACTTGCAAGTGTATTCGATTTCTTATTTAATATTAACGGCATCTTGGCTAAAATAGAAAAAACATACACACACACACAGAAGCACAACAGACACAGCAAAGACACGCTTATTCATACACAAACACACACACGCACACACTACGCGCGCATTCATAAAAACATTGGCATTCGCAGCTGTCATGCGGTTGTGCAATTGTGAGTATTATTATATCCCTATAAAGAAATAAAATAATTAAGCAAAGCAACACACAAGACGTTGTTCGAAAATTCTAGACGCAAATAATTATGTATGTACATTCGGACGTACCTCTCGTATACAGGTTCGATCTTGTACAACTGCACGTTTTTTTTTTCTTATCACTCGAGTTTTATCTTTGTACAAATATGTATGTATGTGTATTCGAACAGGCTTTTGTCGCAATGTTGCTTTGTGTGATGATTAAGAGCCGTCTCCGAGTGTCAAATTAAACAGCTCAACAAGGTCGCAGATTTTTGTTTTACCGGACAACTTCGAGTATCAATATAAGTTTTTGGGCTTACTTCAGCGAAAGAATATATTTTATCAAATCAATAAAGAGATGACATCTGCAACGTGACGTGAGTTTAAATTAAATGTTGTGTGCCATATTGCAGACATTCCTGAAAAGACAACAAAGCTCAAATTTTAAGCTAAACTGATGATGAACTGCGAAGATTTGCGAGGTATGAGACAAAATACAATAATAATAAGACTGGTAACTGGTGAATGGGGTTTGCATGTGTGTGTGTGTGTGTATATTGATTGTCATTGCCAATGCATCATCATTAAATTCCATATCCATTTTTTGTTTCAGATCCGAAACCATGCGTCGCACTTCTCAACCAAGATCAGTCGGATCAGATGAAAATAAGCGGCTACCGGCGCTGCAATATTCGTTCGATTTTGTGCTGGATCTGCATTGTTCTAACTGGAGGCCTGTTGCGCCTTATCCTACATTGGTGGCGGCATTGGTATCTGCTTGCCACATGCAAGCCCTGCTCCTTGCAGGAGGCACAACAGGTGCTCATCGAAGAAGACTATCAGGGAAATCACAAACTGTATCATGTCAAGACTGTGCGGATTCTGGACGTCGAGCAGTTCAAGTACGTTATATCGAAAATTGTACATTTAATAAAAATGTGTAATTAAGTTTTGTTTTTATTTCTTAGAAAATCATTGCAGCAAATATTGCCAGGAGAGGATTTCGATGATAATAAACTACAGCTCCCAGTTCACTTTGCTTCAGCGCATTTCAAAGGTAATTCAAAATATATACATACATATAAAATAAAAATGTGAGTGCTTAAGATTATTATTAGATTATACTCAAAAGCTGATGACTTTATTTATGCGTTGAAATAACTAAATTGTTGCGCTTATTTAGGTTTTCGATCCCTGAGGACATTTCGATGTAAGCAGCTGGTTTATGCGTGGGACAACAGCATAAAAAGCTTTCAAAAAATCAATGGATTAGACGTAAATGTGCCTTGTTCCTATTACCACCAGCAACGTGGATTATCTGTGCAAGAGCAGCTCGCACGCCGCATTGTATTTGGGGAGAATGAGATAACCGTGCCGCTGAGGGATGTGAAAACACTGCTCTTCCTGGAAGCTCTCAATCCCTTTTATGTATTCCAAATATTTTCTGTCGTTCTGTGGTTTACCTATGACTATTACTACTATGCCTGTGTCATCCTGTTAATGTCTATATTTGGCATATCTATGTCCATTGTGCAAACGAAGAAGGTGAGAGATCATATGAAACTTTATGTTATAGTCTGTACAACTGTATCTATTTGATTTGCAGAATCAAGATGTGCTGCAGAAAACAGTTCTAAACACGGGAAATGCATGGGTGGTTAACGCGAAAGGAGTTTCTGTGGAATTATCTACGAAAATGTTAGTGCCTGGCGATATTATTGAAATACCATCGTCCGGCTGCACAATGCAATGCGATGCCGTTTTACTATCCGGCAACTGCATCCTGGACGAATCGATGCTGACGGGCGAAAGTGTGCCAGTTACCAAAACTCCGCTGCCGATGAAGCGCGATGTGATATTTGATAAAAAAGAGCATGCAAGGCACACACTCTTCTGTGGCACTAAGGTTATACAAACGCGATACATTGGATCTAAGAAAGTGTTGGCATTCGTGATAAATACAGGCAATATAACAGCCAAAGGTGGCCTGATACGCTCCATTCTATATCCTCCGCCTGTGGACTATAAGTTTGAACAGGATTCGTACAAGTTCATTCAGTTTTTAGCGCTAATTGCATGCATTGGCTTTATATATACCCTTGTAACGAAGGTAAGTGATTACGAAATATTCGGATTTATATTTTTACCTCATGTTTGCTCCTTTCAGATATTACGCGGCACAGATGCTGTTAAGATAGTGGTCGAATCGCTGGATCTTATAACAATTGTTGTACCACCAGCCCTGCCTGCAGCCATGACTGTTGGTCGGTTTTATGCTCAAAAACGATTGAAAGCCAACAATATCTTTTGCATTTCCCCGCGGTCCATCAACGTGGCTGGCAGTATTGATTGCTGTTGCTTTGATAAGGTAGGTCTGCCCCAAGAAATGTTATTCAATAGCAAGGCTTATAAATTATTTCCATTTTATTCAGACTGGAACCCTAACGGAGGATGGCCTAGACATGTGGGGTGTCGTTCCAAAGTCTTCTACAAATCAGTTTCAAATACCCCTGAAAGATGTGAAGCGACTGCCGTACGATCACTTTCTGTTTGGCATGGTCACGTGCCACTCAATAACTGTCATGAACGGCATGATGATGGGCGATCCCTTGGATCTTAAGATGTTTGAATCGACGGGCTGGATACTGGAAGATTCCAACAACATACCCGAAAATGAGAAGTACGGTTTGATCTATCCGACAATTTTACGGCAACCGCATCGAGAGGAAACACCAGTAGCAGAGGCGGCACCCGTATTTCGACAGAGCTCGGTAGATGATCTCTTGGCCAACGTGGGATTGTTAAAATCTAAAACGAATTTTGATCATGGAATTGTTAGGGAGTTCCCATTTACGTCCAACTTGCAGCGTATGTCAGTGATCACGCGCTGTCTCAGCGCTCAGGGCTTTAACGTTTACTGCAAGGGCTCACCTGAAATGTTACAGCAATTGTGCCAGCCACAGAGCATGCCGAACGACTATAGCCATCAGCTCTCGATTTATGCTAAGAAAGGGTTCCGAATTATTGCCGTGGCATTCAAGACACTTAACCCAAAGGTGAACTACACAAAGGTACAGCGCCTTTCTCGCGAAGAGGTCGAGCACAACTTGGAGTTTCTCGGTTTTGTAATACTTGAGAATCGCCTGAAGCCGGACACAACGGCTGTTATAAATTCACTCAATATGGCAAATATTCGGACAGTTATGATTACGGGCGATAACATATTAACAGCAATGAGCGTGGCCAGAGATTGCGGCATTGTTAGTGCCACGCAGGCGGTAATCACAGTGCATGCGGTGCCCGTGTTGATGAAAGGCTTTGATAAGCAGCTGAATACCGACCAAAATACCGGCCAATATGAACTTCAGTATACGCTCGAACTGGGCAGTAAGACGACGTGCTGCACACCAGCACTCAATGGTAATAGAACATTTTCCGCGGCTGAAATCGCGCTGGATGTGGATCTATCAAAGTCAACAAATTCATTGGTAAATGGCGGCATGAGCTGTGCTTCAAGTGTGTTGCCCAACAGCAACAGCTTGGCCAGTGTCAAAACAATTGACACATGGACCCATAACGACGGCGATGATGTGGAGCTTGGAGCGACAGTTGTTTCACAGCGAAATGATAGCTGGCGTCGTCAATATATATTCGCCATGGATGGCAAGACATGGCAAATTGTAAAGGATCAGTTTCCCCAGCAAATGGAAATCATATTGACGCGCGGTGCCATTTATGCACGCATGTCACCAGAGCAAAAGCAATCGCTAGTGTTGGAGCTACAGAGTCTGGACTATTATGTGGCAATGTGCGGGGATGGGGCAAACGATTGCGGTGCCCTAAAGGTAGCACACACTGGCATATCGTTGAGCGAGACTGAATCCTCGATAGCATCGCCGTTCACTTCGCGTAATCCAACTATTGCTGCCGTACCGAATGTTATCAAGGAGGGTCGCGCCGCCTTAGTTACATCATTTGGTATTTTTAAATATATGGCTGCCTATTCCCTGGTACAGTTTGTATCCGTTATGATCCTATACTCAATCGACTCGAATCTAACCGATAAGCAATATCTCTATATTGACCTTGGCTTGATATCGATATTTGCATTCTTCTTTGGCAAAACTGAGGCTTACGATGGCCAGCTGGTCAAGCAAGTGCCGCTTAGTTCCCTCATCTCGCCAACGCCTTTAAGCTCGCTTGTGCTCCATTTAGCCGTCGTGGTCATCTTTCAGGTCGCCGGTAAGCTAATCGCAATACTCTCTGTGCCTTTTACTGAATTTGTAATTGTTTTTTGCAGGTTGGTTTCAACTACATCAACAGCCTTGGTTTAAACCCTTCCGGCCATCTGATGAGGACCATTTGGGTTGCTATGAGAACTACACGATGTTTGCCATATCGAGCTTCCAGTATATTATACTTGCATTTGTATTCTCAAAGGGAGCCCCATACCGAAAACCAATATGGTCGAATTGGCCCCTATGCTTGACTCTGGTGATAAATGCCTGCATCGTCGTTTACTTGGTTGCCTATCCAAGCGATTGGATTGCCAACTTCTTTCAACTTATCGTGCCGCCGGATATGTCATTTCGTTACATTATGCTGCTATATGGAGCTGTTGCATTTATCACTCATGCATTTCTGGAGTCTTTTGTGGTCGAGTATTTGGTATTTAAGCGATTCCAAGTTCGACGCGAGCAAAACTTAAAGACATCAAATCGCAAATATATGCGATTGGAGTATAATATCAAGTCCTTTGATAATTGGCCGCCCATAACGGAGGTCTATGATCTGCATGATCCAGCCGACCATGAAGCAGAGCTACAGCCGACATATGTTAACTTAAGCGCTGAACAAAATTTGGATGCTCAGCCAACAATTTTTCCTGGCTTTTTTGAGACGTCCGAGAACAGTGCAGAGAACCGACATCGCGTTGCAACCATAAACGCGCAGGTCTCGAGTACGGGTGAAGTCCGGCATAGCTGAAGTCCAAATATAAATGAGGAGATGTACTTACATTTTGTATATACATTTACACATGTACATACATTTTGTATTATACTATAAGTTAACTTAGGCTACACACATATTAAGTTTAAGTTTATTGATAGACATATTAGACACCGTTATTTTTGCTAATTTCTACTGTTTATCGCATGTTAGCTGCTAATAGGTATTTCCAATGAAATTTTACTTACTATATGTACTTATCTGGTTAAATGCCTTCATAGATAATTTAAAATAACGTGTTGTGTGTTAGGTGTTGTGTGCAGAAATATGTTGAAGACATAATGAGAACACCTTTACATGAGTTCATCTGATATGGGGTGAAGTGTTTGCAACGAATATATTGATTATTACTAGAGACTACGGATATACCCCTTCTATTATTTTCTAATTAATCAGCTGCTACGTACGCACTTATGTACATAAGTTGCCATTTGTATTTAATATTTATTTTGTAATTAATCTATACTGTAGCTTATCAAATTACTACTGAGAATAAGTATTCAATAAAAACGTTTTGTAAATCCTCGATTTTGTTCGGGCTAAGAATTTTTCTAACAAACCTACAGCCACAATTCGGCATGTTTATTCCGATTGTTGATTTATTTGTGTAGCTTACGAGTACGCTATAATATAATAACAACAAGTAATAGGTTCTAGCCGGGAGCTCCCGACTAGGGGATACCCTGAACCCTTTTCTTCCAACAGGCGATAGGTATAAAATGAAAGATATATACTATTCTAGAAGCTATATGACAAGTTTAGTGACTAGCTCATATTCTTTGCCGAAATTGCTTAAAAAACCGGATTTTGATATCGATTTGTATCGATTACTTGGAAACCGGACAAGTTATCGAATATCGGAAACAAAATCGATCTGCGGGGAGTAGGAGGACCTACAGCTAAAATTCCAAGTCTCTAGCTCTTATAGGTTCTGAGATCCATGCGTTCATACATACGGACGGACGGACGGACAGACAGACGGACATGGCTAGATCGACTCGGCTATTGATGCTGATCAAGAATATATATACTTTATGGGGTCGGAGATTTACACAAATACATAATACCCTTTTTACCCATTTTTAATGGGTTCAGGGTATAAAAATGAAAATAAGCCATTAATTTTAGATCCGGTTGCCTCTGCGAACGTTTTTCGCGATTTTCCCAAACTTGCGGGTGGAATTTCCCAAAACCCCCTTTTAAACGTGCATCTTCATCATATAATGTAAGTATGGTGAAAATATTAGTTTGCTATCTTTCTATCTATCAATCAGTCCAGTCAGTGAGGATAGTTTTATATATAGAGATGTGATGTAAAAAATGTGCTTGTTATATAAAAAACCAAATTTACGTACATAGCTATTCGCAGAGTATCCGCACACACACACACACACATACATAGTAGCTGCATAATAAATATAAGTATGTATGTAAGGCTGTGTGAGATCCATGAAAAGAAAAATGCATATGTAACGCGATTTGGTTTATAGTGTAGATCGTAGTAAGGTTTAGGTGAAGCTATGCTGACATTTGCAGATTTGTCCAGTATATGTGTGTATGTACATATATTCATCTGTGTGTTCCGCTCTCCCGCAAGCCAAACGGGCTGGCTGTCTGGCAAGTATCTACTTTGGCCCACCTGAACCAGCCAAACGGCTTTTGCGCATGCGCGCAAACGTTCACACAGAGAAACAAAAGCTAAAAGCAATAACATACACGGACACGACACAGCCACCGTCTTCTTCTTCGGTCGTTGGCGGACTCGGGTCGGGTTTGAGCCAGCAACTTGTTGTCTTTGCGCTGACCAAGTCAGTTCTGTGGCTTTCGTCTGCATGGAATGATCGTGTGCGCATCAGAAAAGCGTTAACAGATGTATGTATAGGTGTAAGGCGTATTTGAGTGTGTGTGTGTGTATGTGTGAATATATGCAAATTTCGATATACATATGTATGTACATATATTCGATCTCTTGTGCCAGTTTCCCATCATCGTGTGTGGTGTCTCAATAAGTGATTCTGCTCGTAATATCTACCAAGAAGTGTGTACCAAATAATACCGATTAAATAAAAAAGGGTTAAAGCAAGTATGTACATACACAAGTATATCTGTAAATCTGTGTGCATGTAATATTCATGACAGAGCGGTGCCAACATTTTTGCAACATTTACATTAACATAACTGCATATGTATTTGTATGTATGTGTGTGCGTGTGCAGACGAAGACCCAACAACTTGTTAATCGTGAAATGTAAAAACACAATAAGGAGCGTTGCAGACGGGTGCAACCGACTGCGCAGTACCCTGTTATAAGTGTAATAGCAGCTTAAGAAAACTGTTAGTATCAGCTTAACAAAACTGTTAATTGATTATTGCGATGTGCGGGATCGGGAGTGGGTGTGGCAAAATTGTTAACATATGTACATATACTATATCCGGGTCTCTGCGCTTAGTATTGTTGAAACTAATATACTCTTAATTTTTTTTTCTTGACAGAGTACAACAAAAAAATAAAATAAAAAAAATCAAGTTTTGAAACTCCATTTGCTGGTGTACAATAAAATACAAACAAAATATAAAACAAGAAAATTGAATGGCAACAACAGTGAACTAAAATTCCAATCACCGACAAAAAACTACAACAAATACCAACCGATACGGGTCCAATAAATGCTACAAAGTTAACATATTTATTCACATTCAGATCTTGGAGAAAACTAATCACACATATGCAGATGTATGCCCCAAATGTATGTCTGCATAAATGTACAAATGTATAATGTGTGCTAGTCCCGTAAAGAACCGTCTGGAGGAGCCAAATATGCAACACCCGCTTATTTCTGCATCAAATATACACGAGCTGCTCTCTTCACAAATTGAAAACGGAAACGGAAACGGCGGAACGAGACTTCGCCAGGAAGGTGCACGTGGTCGTCTTATAATTCCCAAAATGTCCGATCCGACACTTTGTCGGAGCCTGTGCCTATTGATGTTAGTCATCGCTCTGATGGCAGCGCCTCCCTTGGGATCTGCGCAAGCACATGGTAAGTTTTGGGTTTTTATTCAAGGCAGATATAGAAAAAATATAAGCCTAAGCCTTTATACAGCTTGATGTGGATTGAAGTTGCTTTCTTCTGCCCGTTACATATGTTTTCACCAAACCAGCATACCCTTTTTTTTTACCAATTTTTAGGTACAGGGCATGTATATTCGATGACCACAAATTTGAATAATCGCCAAAGCTGGCAAACCGTTGTTCGCAGAATTATCTGAAACTCATAAATAGCATTCATATATAGTAGTAGGTAATATTTGTAACAGGATAGTGACGTCACATTATCCATAGCATGTGTTAATAGTAGTACACACGGTCACTCTGGCAGCAGGTCCCATGTAGGTAACAGAGTATGTTAAGCATAAGTCTTAAGTCTGTAACTAGCTTTGAACGCGAAAATAACTGTGAGCTACAAATAAACTCGACCATCCTCTCACATAAATTTAATTGGTTTTTTTGCAAAATGAAGCCCACTCATAGCTGAATATGGTACATAATGTGATTTCGCATTCCATTCATTCATTGTGAGAAGATACCAAACATAAAACGTATTCGGAAGAACATGTTGTCGTTATATACTTCCATAATAGAAGTTTATACACACCTGTAAGGTTTACTCAAGATTTAACATTTAATTTAACATTAACATGAATCAACCCCGAAATATTTATTGAAGCCTTTGGCTTCCTAATAATAACGTGTGCATATACTAACACTCACAAGGCTCTAGCAATAACAAATGCATTTATTTTAATTTCGGGGTGAATGGGCAATGTTTCGAAAAAGTTAAATATGCCTAAACTGTGTACCCAATTTTTATCGATTTTTGACAAGATAATAGTTTCCGATCAAGAATATATATGCTATAGGGGTTACATACATTTAGTCAAAACCAATATACCCTTGCTTAGCCATTTTCAATTGGTACAGGGTATACAAAGAGGGAAGAGAAAGCTACTTGAAATGTTGTGTTTGATGATGTTCAAATAGTTAAAAAAAAAAAAAACAAAAAATATTTCCAACGCTTTAAATTTTGTATTGAAAAATTAATAAATGGACACACATAGTTTATTGTCTAGAACCAGGCTACAAAAAAAAAATGGAAAAAAAACCTTAACAAAACATTTCCCTAATATAAAACATTCTCATTTTAAGTGTAACCGAGCAGGGACAGTTAGATAAATGTCATTGGACTTTCGAGAGTACAGGCACAGACCTGCTTAATACTGTGTTGACGTCCTCTTTTGCGTCCGTTTTACTGTTAAGGCGAATGCCTGATCAGTGTTTACCGCTTGGACTGGACTAGTTAGAGCAACTACACATGGATGCATAACAACATATTTAGTCTGATCGTCACATTGACGCATGGCAAAAACAAGAATTGAACTTGCGGCTGGAAGCTGCTTTCACAACGCAAACAGAAGAAGAAAAACTTTCAATACCATCGCAAACACACACAGGCACAGACACAGAGCCATAGCACCAACATTGTCGGAATTATCATTCAAGAAAGGCGGACAGAGACCTGAACCGAAAGCGACGCAGAAGCCAGAAGCAGCCTCTACAGACAGAAAATGTGGGTCAGCGACAAATGTAGAAGGCTTTCTTCAGCGTCATAAGAAAATATGTGGCTTTTATATGGAAGAGTCTTATTTTAGATTTCCTCATAGGTACTCAAAGCTCAAAAATGAATAAAACTTGGCAAATAATACCTAGATTATATTCATCGCAAATGAGATAATAATAATGAGATAGTAATTATCTGTCTTAAGTGTGAAGGTTGCTTAATGCAGGCTGGGGTGAATTATGCATTATTTATCTGCTATTTGTGGGGAGGCTATTTGTAAATTTTCTTGACACAAACGATAATCAGTTATAAATATGACAACATATTTTGTTTGACTACATAAGCTCTGTCGAAAAATAACATATGTACATATGACATCATTGTAAGTTGACAAAAGAAATCAAAACATAATAAACATGCCAAATTAGTTGGTCACTCAAAATTCGAAACTCGAAATCGATTTAGATCGATTGCAGGATATACAGGGCTCAGGTTCTTAAATCGACGATAGGATATTAAGAAATTTATAATGGTAACGGAAACAATAATACCGATGACAGCTCTATTATCTATTGAAAATAAATAACAGTTACACACTTATGGTATTATTCCCTATTTGCCTGCATGTGTATGTATTTTATAAATAATGTTAGATCGACAACCAATCGAATGTGAATGTGCATGCAAACAGTGTAACCAGATTTTCTAATAAGATAATTAGCAATCCAGTGCAATATGTCTGAAGTATCGATATCGGTGACGATATTCCTATGCCTATCGGTGGCGATATCGATACTTCAAACAAAGAACAAAAAGAAAGAAGAAAAGGACAACAATTATAAAATAAAGCCAACGGCCGTTAAAATATTACACTATCGATTTGGCACTACTATGCGGATAGATAGAGATTAAAGTGTACAATTTCTTTGGTAAATATGCAGGTGCCGCCGCTTTGGGCAACATGTTCGTGAAATCAACCACTTTCTTTTTATTGATCAGCAGCAGCCGCAACAGCCGCAGCAGCAGAAGACGGCGACGGGTCCAAATGAAATCATTTATACCTATGCTTGTTGGCTTGTTGGGGAAATTGAACAATTCAAGGTTCGAAATATTTTAAGAGGCATTTCACCCAAACTAGTTCCGAGTAACAATTGTTGTCCGGGTCTGGGTCCGGGTGCAGGGGAGAAAAGCGCTTTCGCTTTATTTAGTAAACTTCGCTTTCGTATGTATATATGTTAAGATATGTTGTCTTAAGTATTTAGGTAATTCCAATTGGCAGATTAATCACGAACCTTTTATAAGTATTTTTTCTAATAATTATTTTCGTATTTTCAGATGAGCCGTACATTGTTAAACCAACGCCCATCTTACGTGCGACAGGTGCAGATGGTAAGCAGCATATGTACTTCATTTCCTAGAGATGATCTCAGTTAATAGTAATATTATCCAATATACTTATGTAAATTGCTTGACCTGACTGACTGACTGACTGACTGACTGAACTGAAGGAGCTAGAGGAAGGAGAGTAAGGGCAGTTTTGCCAAATTCAACTCATTTTCAAAGATCTTTGCTTCAACTCATTTGAGAGGCGTTTCATACTTTTCGTAAAATCCATCTCACAGTGGGTGAAGTTTCAGGACTAAATTCTATTCTAAGGATATTTTTGAAAATTAATTTCCAAACGTTTAACACACTTTTCATCAAAATCAACCCATATATTTTGCTTCTTAATTCATATAATTTCAAACCGATTTTCAAATATCTTTGTAAAATATAACAAGTGAAGTTCAGAGAGGGTAGTATGGGGTAGATATACATTTTTCTCGGGTGGAAAATAGGCGAAAAATGTATGTAGTTGGACTTAGGGAGGTCGTGAAAGACCAGATAATAACTATATAAATATATATAAAGATATCTTAAAATATCGGTTGGGAAATGGGCGAAAAATTGATGTCTAAATTTGAAGCAAGTACTTGGAGCTGGAAGGGGGGGACGTCGGGAAATACCAGATAATAAATATACTATATAAATATATATAGATATCTTAAAACTACAAACTGCACAAATACATTTCTATGAACTGAGTTACTAAGCTAATAGGTTTGATATATATATGTAACAAACTAAATCGTGCTATATTGTTTTACATACTTACTTCTTTTGTGAATCCTTTTCTTTATTTCTTTTTATGTAAATGATTTCACCATCTCTCTCTGCTGTACATTCTGGACATGTTGATTTAATCTCTTATTATTCTTCTTATTTATGTATTTATGTGTATATTACTTTTGTAAATATTTGTAACAATTTATCTCTCTCTCTCTCTCCTCTGTGTCTAATTCTCCTTCAATCACCCGTCTCTGTGTGTGTGTATATATATGTGTGTGTGTGTGTGTCTGTGATTGACAACATATTAGATTTAACCACTGTATTATTGGTAAATAACGACGGAGGCGGACGCCTAGGTGACAGTCACGGTCACGGCCGATTTCTGTCGGTTCGCCCCGAAGTCGGCCTCCTGACCTCAACGGCACGCACCTTTATCCAAGAGGGCGTGACAACCGAATATGCGACACAGGTCGTAGGCACAACCCTCAACAATGGTCGTCTGTATGCACAGTACCTGAAGAAGAGCTCGCGGGTGCTCTTCGAAAATGGTCAGGTGTCGCCGTCTGTCGTCACGAGTTGGGTGGGTGAAGGTGTTCCCCAGACTCGCGCCTACCTGCAAAGCCACAATGATCTGCTTGATGCTGAATCACCGGATTGGCAGGAAATCGATGATAGGCTACTAGATCATCAGTTTGTTGGCAATACGGATTACATTAAGCTTGGGCACGCCGCCAGTCAATTGATGGAAGCGCACGCTGCTCCATCTTCGTCCGCCTCGACGGATCCAAAGAAAATTGTAGATGTGCAGCTTGTGGCCAACTCCGGACAAAGGGACGACAATGGCCGCAAAGTGGCTGCGCATAAAGTCTTGCCAATTGGCGATTTGCCAACGTTTACGGTCAAAAATCATTTTGAGCCAAGTGGATATCAGACAATCGAAGGTGAAATAAAATCACAATCTGTTGGCGAATTGTCTGCTCAGACTGAGGAAGAAGAAGGACGCTCCGCAAAGGTTTACTATCAGGATCTAATGCAGGATAAGAAAAGTGAGAAAATATCCATCCAAAACTCCCAATCGTACCTCCAATCGCCAGCTAATGTGGCAAAGAAGAGTGCTCCGTCAACTGTTACCTACTATGGTTTTGCTGAATTCACAACTCTCGTGGGCGATAGTTTAATTGTTTTCCTGCCGAGCACTGCCCAGCCCAGCTCCATCGTGGGCCACGTAACCTCAATAAAGGGCATGGCTACACTTAGAACCAGCGAGGTTCAACCACCGCAGGACGCAAGCACAGAAAACCTCCTTGCGTCGAAGACGGTCGACCGTGAAACTTCCTCCAGTACAACTATAAATCCGTGGGCTGTTTTTGTGGACGCCACTGAGCCAATAACAACAACAGAGAGCAGCAGCAGCATATCGCCAACGACTTCAGAGCTAATAATGTCTGAAATTGGCTTGGTTTCAACTGCAACACCTTCTCTTGATCTTACAACAACCGAGAAGATAATCGAATCAAGCGATGCAAAGCCAATGTTTTCATTGCCAACGGACCAAGAAATTCTGGAAATCTACGCGTCTCTAGCCAAAGCTCAAGCAGCGGCTTCTCCCTCTCCTTCTTCTTATCCCACACCAGTATCCGTATCTGTCGAGACAATGCAACATACCCAACTTCCAACTTCCGTCCAACCGGATGAGACCCATTTGCCAAGCGTCCAACCGGATGTGTCAAATCTTCAGGTGCACGGAGGAGCAACAACCATATTCATAGACGACGATCCCTTTGAAAATTTTGTAGAGCCCACTTCTGTGTTAACGATTCAGTCCTCGCCAGCGACAGCAGAAATCATTGCCAAAACGACGCCCACAACAGAGGAGAAGGATACGACTTCATATACAAATGCCGATGAATCAGAAGGGTCGACAACAACGAGCTCAGAGGCTGAAGAAAACTCAACCACCCTCAAGTCACAGCTGACCGAAGATACAACAGATCCTGCAGCATCTCCAGCGGAGCTATCGCCGTTGCCGTCGCCGTCGCCTACACCGATAATTAGGGAAATAAGTAGCCCAGATGAGGTGAAGTGCGCACAGATCAAGTCACAAGTGTTTTTGAGGCAAGTACCAAAGACTAACACGATTTCAAGCACGCAATTAGTACAGGGTCAAGAGGATCTTCCATTTGACATCAAGGAGACAACTAAATATTTCTGCATAGAGACCACACGGGCAATTGAATCACCACAACTGGAGAAGCCCACACACACATCAGTTGTGCAAGACTCGTCGTCTTCTCTGCCTGCAACAACAACTGTGGCATCATCAGTCCAAGAAGATACAACCACAGTGGATACCCGGCCAGAGACACAGACCGAGGCTATTGTCACACTAAAGGAAGAAAGCTCAACAGAGGCGGAGATGGAGCCAGAGACGGAGACAGAGACGGCGGAAGCGGTTATTGATGATGATTATGTTACCGAACCTGACACTACTCATTTAATTGATAATGATAATGATAATGACGATTATGATAATGATAGTGGCTCGGACGAAGTAGATCTTATATACAAAACCCTATACACAACCTACACGTACCTGACGACCTTCTTCCAAGGCCCGTCCACAACTGTCTCTAGCCATACGGAAATCGTTACCAATGTGGTTACCTCTACACTAGATCCCGATAAAGATCTGAACACGAAATCAACAGATATTTTGGCGCAAGTCGGTGACAATGAAATCTCCGCCACTCAAACTCAAAATGTGCACGCACAGATGACAGCTACGGCAAAAACGATACCGAGGAGTTCATCGAAATATATGATTCCCGATGAACTGGAGAGCTTATTACATGCAAGTGCCAACGATGAGCCCAGCAGTTCAAAAGATGCCAATCAAAAACAACAAACTAGCTATATTGATGATACGAAATATACAAAAACATTCTTTACAACTTACACATATTACACAACAATTTTCGCTGAGAGCGAAACGGAGATAATGTCACGGACTGAGGTCTTTACAAATTATATTACCGAACTTGGTGGGCCAAAAAAATCGAGTGGAGCTGCTGATCAACGATCAATCGATCAAATACTAGCATCTACAACGTCGCCAGCCATAACCGTATCCGTGTCGGAAATCCCTCAACTAAATCTCAATCAGGCAAAGGAAGACGAAGAGGATGATGGAGAAAAGCATGTGACACTGGTAACTGATGTCCGATCGAGTAGTTCCAATGGCGAACAACAAGTTATTGGCAAAATCGGGGCTGACGATCAAGTTAGTTCGGAGAGCAATACGGAAGAGATCCTGCCATCCGCAACGCTGCTTCTTCAGACCAGTTTTACAACGTTCACCTTCTACACAACGATGTATGTGTCGGATAGCACGAATGTCGTGAGTCGACTCGAAACTGTTACCAATATTGCCACCGAAACGTTGCAGCCAACGAAGGTGTTGAGCCATGAGGAGGCAACCCTACCGATCACATATTTCACCACATTCACGTATTGGACTAAATTGGCCAAGGACGGAGAAATCACAACAATTAGCAGAGAGGAAACCATATCGAATGTGATTGAGCCGTCTAATCGTGCCACCGTTGGCTCTGATTCCAGTTCAAACTCCATTTCGGACTCGAGTTCGAGTTCAATGCTGTCGACAATATCACAGACAAGTGTTGGCTTAAATAATGCGATAAGCACTAGCAAAAGTGATGTATCAGCAGAGCTGACGACCTTCTATACCACATATACGTATTATACTACCTCATATGAAGCTAATAAAACTGTGACGGATTCTCGCTTTGAGACAATCACGAATGTGGTAACACCCAAAAGCGATCCGATCGCAACTTCTGCGCTGAATATAGAACTGACAACACCAATATCCATTTCAGAGAGCGTCTCAGCAGGAATCACAGAAGCACAGCAGGATAGCAAAAATAAAGACTTGATATTTTACGATTATAAGCATATAATCGATGCCGAAGGGGTTAGCACCTTGTACTTTACAACTCAGATTCAATCTACAGTCGACGGTGAGGGTAAAGCTATTGAGGCTACCAGCAGCACGTCCAGCTTGCATATCGATGAGGAGAAGAAAATGATTTTGGCCACGGCGCTGGCAGCTGAAGGGGGCGGGACGACAGATCAGAACTCAGTTTCTGCTCGGCAATATAAAACCGGATTGGTTCGACTAATCGAGGGCACGCGAATCGGAAATAGTACGACGACCCTGTATCAGTCAAAGGTTATTGGCACTATTATAGACAGTCGCTATGCGCAGATTATCGAGAGTACATCCAGCTTCATCTTCGAGAAAGCCATAGCTGCTGCCACCGTAGTACCAAGTGCAACAGTTGATGACACGATGATGATTAGCAGCAGCACGCAGAGCGTCAGCCTGCAGTCTGTGGCTGCAGTGGAGGGCAGCATTGCTGGCGATGATGCGATCGAAGGTGTTACCGAGGACTCAAATCAAGAAGACCATGATTCGGATGATGCTGACAATGGTAATGACAATGCTCGACAATCGTTTCAGTCAAAGAAACGCACTTTTGCGCCCGTGATTAGACCGTTCGCCTCCCGTAATAGGCCGACATTTGCGCCAAAGCATAAAACCCTGAGTCCGAGCAGTGCAACAATTATAACGAGATCCGACATAACACCGACAATAACAGCGACTCCGGCTCTCAAATCCGTCGGCAGGTATAGTTCAACTCGAAGGGGTGCCATTTCCAATGCCCCAAACAATCCGCTTGACGGTGGTCCGGCATCGACATCGTCGTCTAGACGACTATTCGGACGCCCAATAAAACCGTCGACCGGTTCCGGTTCCGGAGTTAGCCAGAGCGTGGGAAGCACACAGCAAGCGAGTCCAGGCTTCGCTCCGTCCAGAAACCGTTTTGCGTCCTCATCACGTTCTGCCCCAATATCTAGCTCGAGGCGTCTCAGTATAAATGCCTCCTATCGCCCGTCCAGCAGTCCCGGTTTTCGTGCTTCAGCACTGAATGCTGCCAACTCGAAGCAACGCATTAAGCCAACCTCACTTAATGGCCAATTAGCCATTTCCTCAACATCGACATTGCCAAAGCCAGACAATTCGGACGATGAAGAGGAGAGTTCCACAGAGGAGCAGACACAGGCCAATGAAGAGGATGAAAAGGCAACTCAAAATTCCAGACGTAATCAGAACCCATTGCTGCGCTTCCGTCGACCTCTCAATCGACCCAGCGGCTTCACGCCTGCTGCTGCACGTCCCAATGCCAGTCCGGCTACCATTTCGCCCAGAAGGAATCCGTTATCGGGGCGAGCCAAGTCAACGACTACCACAACAACGACAACGACAACGGCCAGGCCACGCCCTCGAAGCTTCCAGCGACCTACCATATCCAGTCTTCAAGCGCGAGCAAGACCACAAAGCAATCTCTTTCCGCCACGTGGACTGTTCCAGCAGCAGCAAAAGGATCCAGTGCCACCGGCGGACAATAGTGAAACAAATGATGCTGAAAACGAATCCGACTATGATGACGATGAGGACGGCGAGCAGGCCGATGGAGATGCTGATGTGGAGGAGAACGAGGCCAGACGCCGTCGCAGTTCCAATCGAAAGGTAGCAGAGCCAAGAAATCTATCGCGTAAGCGCCGGCAGGCAGATAGTCTAAACAGAAGTCGATTTCGATTTCGCCGCCCGAAGACCGTCACAACAGAGGAGCCGCCGATCGTCGAAGAAATCACTGAAACTTCGCCAAGTACGGCACGTGCGAAAACCAATTCTCGCTTTGGCTCCAGGTACCACCAGGCCATGCACAAACAGCAAATGAGCACAAACGCGCCGCCTACAACGAGCCATCGGTCGATTCGGCCCACAAGACCAACATCGCCACGAACACAGTTTACGCTCAGAGAGAAGGATACCACAATAAAGAGCATTACCCGACCGGGTGGAACTACCTCGAACTTTCGACGCCAGCAACAGCCGGCCATTAGACGCAACCCGACCGTCTCCAGCTCGTCAAATTCGCGTCGGTTAAAGAGCTACAGCAATCATAATAGCAACAACAACAATGCGGAAAGCTCCGGTCTGCGTACCTCGAGCAGTCCCCGCTCTCGGAAGGGCAATGCTAACGGTGCGACCCGGGGTCGAGGCACAATGCGCGGCAGGAATCGCAACGAGTACAGCTTGGAGACGCCGCCACCGGAACTGGGATCGGTGACAATCACAGTTACGCATCTGATACCGGCGGAGGTGACGGTGCCCGTTGTAAACGGTCAGGTGACCGAATACAAGAACATTGTTACGGCCAAGACAAGCATCGAGGTACTGGGACCACATCAGTACACCCAAAGTCTGGGCAACAATGGGCAAACGTCGCTGTTCCTCACCCGTGAGGATTCCAGCGTGAATGCGGCCGGTGCAACGGAGCTAACACGATATCTACTGCAGGACTCCCTGACATCGACTGTTACATTTACGCCGACCACAATTCGGGGCAGGAAGACCTCCTTCTCGCACGTTCTGCCCTCGACCGTGTATTCGGTGGAAAACGTTGTGTCCACGCTGCAGCCGCAGATAGCGGCAAATGCGCCGCTTGCGAATATTTTGCTGTCGCAACTGTTGTTGGGCAACATCAATTTGCCGAGCAATCCTCTCCTGGGCGCACTTGGCCAGCCCCAGGCTCTAGGCTTGGGCACGGGTACGGGCTCAGCAGTGGTGGAGCCATCGTTGCCAGTTACGGAATATCGCACCCATACGTCGACCTATGTAACCACCATATACGACGGCAAGTCCACAATTGTGCCGATCACCTTCCAGGGCAAGAAGATACTGACAACTGTCTTCGATACGACGGCACAGACAATAACAGCCACCGAATATAGCGTAGACACAATAATAAATACACCCAGCCCGCAACAGCAACTGCAGCCATCCGGACAGGTGGCTCAGGTGAACAGCCTCCTGTTGCAGCAATTGCTACTCCAACAACAACAACAACAACAACAGCAGCAGCAACAACAACAGCAGCTACAGCTGCCGGCTCAGATAATGCAGACGACGTCGCCGCAAATAATTTTGAGTGAAAACCTGCAGGATTTGGAGGAGGGGACACAATTCGATGCGGATGATAATATCGATGATATTATAGTGCCAGCGATTGGCCATAAAGAGCATCACGTGCAGCATTCCGGCAAGAGTCGCAAAAAGCCAAGGAAACCAAACGGAGGCCAGAACAAGCGCAACAAGCAACAGTTGCCCAGAGGAGGATCGCAGGAGGAGGAGGAGGAGAGCAGCGTGGTTACGCTCTATGTCTCTGGCCGCAGGCCAGGTGAGTTCAGCACAATTCTGTCGACGGTGCACAATAGCCGTGATCACGATCACCTGGCCCCATCCAGCTTGCACAAGCGACATGCCCAGACGGCTGCACTACATATTCCGGATGATGAGTATGAGTTTGGGGAGAGCGAACGGGTGCTATCATATTTACGACCTCTGGAGCAGCAACCAAATGAGTTGAATTTGATTAGCCCCGATTTGGATGAGGAGGAGTGCGAGGATTGTGCATGGAAAGATCATACAGCTTCCCTGGAGAGCATCATTGGCGATGTCGATCTGTGGTATGCCAAGGCAACGAAGCAGGCGAAAGAATCCTCATCGAATACGCAGGAAGTCTCCTTGTCGAGCAGCAAGGCGAATCTCAATCAATCGAATGCAATATATTTTTTAGCATAAATGACCTCGCTGAGTTGTTCCCACTTCAGTTGCAGGTCACAAATACTACACAATATCCTCAAGGAATTACAAGTCGGATTTCCAAGCGAGAAGTCTCTCTCTCTCACAAGCCCCGACTGCGTAAGGTCCTTGTGCGACGCAAGCCCCACAAATCTGTACTCCCAACACTAGTCAATAACAACAACAACAACAACAATAACAATCGAAGCGAAATCGATTCGAAAGGCAGATCTGAGCCAAAGAAACTTCGTGTTGTAGTTTTCCAGCATAGACCTACAAAGAGTAGAAACCATACAGAAAATACATTTTCCCCAACACTATCCGCCGTGACAAAGTTAACGGCAAATCCAGCAGCCACATTGCAAACGGAACGTTTGCCAACACTGTCCATGTCAAAGTTAACGTCAAAGTTAACGTCAATGAAGAACGCTACAACCAAGCGACGACCTAGAAAACGTAAGCAAAAGCAACTTAGCAATAAAAGCCATCAATTATCGATTTCCGAGCGGGTTACCCAACAAACTGCACTGCAACTGATTACCACAACAAGTACTGAACTATTTACTCGAACCTACACCTATGTCGTGGAGCGGGTGCACAATGATCAAACCGAGCTTCTCGAATCCATCTCAACGTTTACGCGAGTGAATACCCGAACTCTGCCTGCGACACTGACTATTACGCGTACTCAACTAAATAATATTTCGGTGATTTCCACACAACAACCTTGAAATCTTTCCGAAATTATTTTCAGTAGGGACCGAAGTTATATGGCATAAAACTTCAAACTGAATAATTCAATATCCAAGGAATATTTCTATTTTTTGGTCGAATCCTTTTAAAAACTTAATAATCTTGTTTTAATGAAAGCAGAGCTCAACTCTTGCTTTTCATCTTTTATTAGAAAACTTATTAAATTGTAAAATAACAAATTAATGTTCAAAATTGAATGCAACTAAATTATTTAACTAATTATTCGATAAACAATAAAAAAAAGGAATTCATAGAGGTCAAACTTTGACGGTCCCTGGCTAAAAGAAAGTATGGTACAACATTTACATCATACATATGTATTTTGATGTATCTTGATGTATTTCACACACACCCACACACACACACACATACACATCATATACGCATGTATATACATATATATACTCTTTTTTGTTAACTTCAGATCTTAAGTTTATTTATCCTCCACGCCCGATTATAATATATGTGTATATGTATATTGCTCCTTGAAAAATATATGTCAATAAAATGTACATAATTATAATAGCTATGCATATAAGGACATGTTAACTGAAGTCTAAATTGTACATTTTAAGTTAACTTTCAGTCTATATCTACATATATATCGTTTATAACAACGGGCAATTAATACAAAATAATCGACAAAAATTTTTGATTTAAGTATGTATAAAATGGGTTTGTGAATATTGTAATTTTGATGTACGTATGTATGTTGTATGTGAATTGTATGTTAAGAATGTTACTTAATCTTAAAACATAAATTAATGACAAACATAAGTTTATCTTGTGTGTTTGGCAATTATACATATATATCTCTACATATTTTCTGAAAATAAAATGATCGATTTCTCGACAACATTCTATTATTACCATAAACATGTTGCATCAAACTTCATTTGCCTTGGATTTCTCCGAATAGAGCAGCTACGATCCCGATCCCGATACCAGCTCAGCAAATCGAATGGAGCTATATATAATATATATATAGATTGCAAGGACGACGAGCCAAACGGATTTAATAATGTCTTCTCTGTCTTTTTAAGCCAAACAAAACTCTCTCTTACATGCAGATATTGTATATCGAAAAATTTAACTTTTTTGCCAGAGTGTTTAAGTATACTTCGGCTATTTTTGCCAGTAACCATTTCGCTTGGCTTCTATAAGAACCTTAAAAAAAAAAAAAGGAATTTTAATTTTATCCTTTCGGAATTCAATTCTCGTGACTCTAAAACTGTAGCCCCAAGGCAAGGTAATGGGCCCATTAAATTGTGTGAAATTGTACATTTTTGTTGTGGAACTGTGAAGAAAAGTTATGTAAATATGCGCATAGTTTATTGATTTGTAAAAAGGCCGCCCCTCGTTTAAAATAGTTGTGCGCATTAAATGTCCACTAAATGTCCACATAAAATTCTTGTAATTGATGCAGGCTACAATAAGAGACACGTTAAACACTATACAACACATAGTACTAAAAGTGAATCAACTGAAACAACTGACACAATGTCCCGCCTTCAGAATATCCGCATGCTGGCTGACACCAACCACAATTTGGTTGGGGACATGTCGGACAGAAGCTTGGATGAGGCCAGATTCAATCTGGCGACGCATGTTATGTCGAATGGCGTTGAGCTAATAATTGCCAGCGACAAGGTCAAGTCAAGTCATGTTGATATAAATCACGGACTCACCAGCAGCAGCAGCACATCCTCCTCCTCGAGGCACGTCCAGTCACTGCGGCCGGTCACCCTTGCTCCCAGCACACTGAAGAATCACATGATCTTGGCATTGCCCACCAGCCGACAGGTAAATCGTATGCATATAATATAATAAACATACGTAATCTATCAATCTATCTGCAGGAGAACTTCACAATTCCCACAGATGAGAATCAATTTATTACGAAGACCTGCCTGACGACCTACACATACCACACAACCTACCTCCACAAAGGAAGCACCACGGTCGAGAGCAGAGAGAAGGTTGTCTCCAATCGGCATACGGAGGAGCGTAACTTCTTGCGAGCCAGCACTCAATTGTCGCTGGGGGTAACTCTTTCAAATGTAAGCACATTTGTTTGGCATATAAAATACTACATATTTATACATTTATAATATTTATAGACGCTCGAGCTGGCGGTGGGCATATTTCCCACGACATACCACTACTATAACACGCTGAGAGACAACGATTTGGTCATCACATCGAGCTACACGGTAATTAACACAGTCACCGGACCGGAGGATTATATATCATACTTACAGCCTTCAGAGGATGCAACCCCTATGCTGGACACAAACACCTACTACACTCCGCTAGTCATAACGAAAACAATACAAGACGGTTCGGAGTCGACAAAAGTTGTAACCGATGAAAATATTCTGACTCAAGTCGTTGTCACGGAATCAATTCCGCCACACGGTGCAACTGCAAGGCTTCAATCGATCCACGTCGCGAGTCAAAACAAGTTCGATTCGACGACAAGTTCGATAGATGTTCAGATCTATGCAACGAAAACGTATTTGACTACGCTTACCTATCTAGCGACAGCTACACAGCCGTCGTCCAAGGAGGTAAACGATCATTTTTTAAGTAACTTCCAAACAAAGGTGATCGTCAATGTTATGACCGACATTGTGCCGAGTTCACTATTGGGACCGGAGCTTCTATCCAGATTTTCTACGGAGCTAATGCAGAAAAAGGGCAAAAACAATCGAAAGGTTCTGGTAACTTTGGCTACCTTGATAAGCGGTGAGACCCTGCAGGTAACTGCAGTGAATATGCCAAAGGAAGCACTAACTGAGGCCAGTCCACTCAACATTAGACAATCAACAAAATTGGCCATTAAGTCAAGTACAATGCAAAATAGCATTAGAGTAGAAAAAACGAAAGATCAAAGCGAGCATGACTCAGATACAGAAACCGATCAAACCGCATCAGAGTCCGAAAACAATGATATATATTTTAGGCCGCCAAAAGAGTCGCCGACTGTCGAACAATTAATTGGATCTTTGAATCTACAACGATTTCGACCAGTCTTCGATGTAATGGCTGAACTGTTGCAGAAGAAAATCGTGAGTAGGCCAACTCAAGCAAAGCCGGCATTGATTTATGTGAACGAGAGGAAAAATCAAACAAATAATATCTCAGACGAAAAGCCCGTTTACATACCACTTAAGCCGGACAACCCGAGCCAAACCGAGCAGAGCCCGATCCGGAGCCAGAGCCACAACTCGGATATTAATAGCTCCAACAATAAACTGGACATTAATCTTAGCAGATTGGCGGCACACAGTCTGCACATCAATCCCCCGGAAGCGGACACGGAGCTGGACTTTCCCGATGCATCGGTCGATAACGTCTGGAGTAACAACAACAATATTAGCCTTAATGCAAACCCATTATTGGGCTACCAGAACCTATTGCTTAATAACGGTATACCTATAAGACCGGGAGAGATTATAAATGCCAATGCGGATGTCATCATTGGCAGGCCAAACGGCATAGGAGGAGCTCAATTCTCACCTCCTCGGGCGAAGACAGCGATTAATTATCATGCGCCGCCATTTAAAAAGAAAACCTGGCTACCTGCTCCTCCTCCTCCTCATCCACCGCAAATTCCACTCTCACTTACCCCACCACGTCTCATTCCACTCGTTCACGAACGATCGAAAATCAATCGCAATCAGCAAAGGATTATCGGCGAGAATTACAGCAATATCCTATGGCCACCTGCGCCAGTCTCCTCCATCTCTCAAATATATCCAGAGTTCAGCACAACAGCCTCAATATATAATTTCCAATCGCCAACTGGCGCTCACAAACGATTACCACCGAATACGAGCAATAATGGCATCTATGGTTCACAGCAAGTTCTTATCAATTTGAATTCAGAGCTGAATAACAATGAAATTTTGGAAATCAAACAAATCCCACAGATATTCAGTACACAGCTAGCTTCGATCACCACAACATATCCAATGTCCGATAATAATTACTACAGGCAGCTGCCCCCGAAGAGCTCAATAGCTCCGACATACTCGGCCCATCATCACATTAATCTGAAAACGGATGTCCTCAGTCACAATGTCAACATGAATGTGCCGCCGCTCACGTTTAAGCGAGAGAACGAGAACTTTCCACTTGCGACCGCAGTCCGGGGACACATTCCCCCGCCGCCGAATATGCCGCTGATAAAAATACCTCTCAATAAAGCCCATGTCGAAGTTCGCCTGACACCGCAAAACAACAGGCTGGCTGTCGAGCCGCCGCCACCGGAGCCGAATATTAGGCAAACAGCAGCCAGCACATTTAAGCAGCGTAATCAGAATTTTTCGAAAAATATTGAAAGCTTGTCGAGCTTCAGCAGCAAGACAATAAGCTCCACAAAACAACCGCACACTTCTAACTTCTATTCGAATTCAAAAATATTGCCAACTAGTCCACAAATATTCAATTCAGCCAAGCCGGCAAACCACTCAAACCAGTGGAATATAAGTGAAACACGAATTATGTGGAACGATCCGTTCACATCGGGCGTCTCAGACTCGGATCAGGCTGCCACAAATTTGATCAGATCGGAAATTAAAAAACGGCCCACATTAGTGGGCGTGGCTCCCATTAATATGCTCGACAATTATGGTGAAGATCAGAGCGCCAGGTATACCAGCTACAATTCGAAGTACAATTTCTCAAATGAAAACATTTCGCCATCGCAATCGCAATCGCTTAATGTGAATCCCAACCTGTTGGCTTCCAAGCCAGATATTAGTTTGTACTCTTCCAGTTCTCCTGCTCATCAATCAACAGTGAATCCTTGGCTGTCAGTCCACACTCCTCCATACGGCAACCAATTTGTCCGTTCCAGTTCCAAGAATATAGCTCCAGCTAAATCAACTGTGGATCCTTGGCCATCGCCATCGCAATCGCAATCGCTTAATGTGAATCCCAACCTCTTGGCTTCCAGGCCAGATATTAGTTTGTACTCTTCCAGTTCTCCAGCTAAATCAACTATGGATCCTTGGCTGTCAGTCCACACGCCAGACGGCAACCAATCCGTCCGTTTGGGCCAGCCCTTTGTCAAGCACAAGCCGCCGACTCAGACTCAGTCAAAGGGGAAAAGTGACATACCAAAAAAGATATTTGTGGCAACTGGCGAACGTTTTAACTTAAGGCCAATTGCAACTAGCCAAATTATGGAGAATGCCGATTTGTATGCCGGCAAACCAACTAAAATGTTGCCGCCTCGTCTGGCAACATATTTAAAGACAACCACCTCCATGAGGATCTATAACACGCAAACTGTAGTCGGACTGCAGCCACCGCCAACTTTATCTCCACCTCCATCATCACCATCAGCAACAAGAGTTAAGGAGATGACAACATTCCATAGACATTCGACGTCATCCACAGCACTTCCAACACCGAATGTTATAGTTGCCCACAGTTTCGCAACACAATTCAATTCGGGCTTAAAAGTAATAACGCCAAGTGCAGAAATGCCCATAATCAAAAATTCAGTACGTTTAGAAGACAGCAGGACTAATGTATTAAGGACCCAAAGCTCGTATATAGCGAAGACAAATGTTCCCGAATCTTCAGCTTCGATTCTCAAGTCGTCAATTAAGAAATTATCGACTG